CCCACTCCCCTGCCATCAGGGTCTCCTGCTCAGAGCAGAGGAAAACAGGTTGTTTACAGGAAATTCAGGGTCTGGTGGTCCGCAGTCCCCAACAGTGACCTATAGAGAAAGTGACTGACGTTTCTCCCAAAGACCCCTGTGCTCTGTATTTCCTGCTGGTTGGAGTGTCTTTTAGTGCCTGTAGGAGTATAGAGACTGAGTGAATACTCCACAGGTGATAGAATTAGTAAGACAGGGAAGTCTTTGCAAGGAGTTACTAGTGTTTATATTAAGTGTGGGTCCATATCGAATATAGAGCACTGTTAATTTGATATGAAATGGAGAAAAGTGGAAGTGAGGAAATAGTTTTGTCTAGTGAGGAATGGCCAAGACTTGGGAGATGTGTGGTGCTGAACACAATGGAAATATTAATGGGATTTGCTAGCAGATTGGATGTGGAGATTAACAGAAGACTTAGATGCAGATGCCGTGTGTAGTGGGCACTGCTAGAACAAAGGGAAGCTGGAAAGTTGCCGGCACACGCAATATCCCCACTAATGAGACTGGTGAGTCCCAGACACAGGCAGAGGTACGGGATCCAGCTCTGAGAAGCTCTGGAGTTTGGGTAAGGTTGATGGAACCAGCAAGAATGGATTGTGAAAAAGATTACTGGTTAGTAAGATAGGGCAAGAGAGAAGAAAGTAGGGAGAGCAGAAACCTGCTTCCTGGTCCTCAACACACTGGAGGGCCAGGTACAGCTAGAGGTGGCTCAGAGGGTGAGTACTTGCTGTCTCTCTAACTTCCATAAGCATGAAAGAAGAGAACTGGTTCTCTTCTGACCTCCACTCATGTGCCATGGCACAAGCACCCCCCCCCCACAATAATAATGCAGATGATTTAAAAATTAATAACAGAAGTGAACATGTAGCTGAGTGATAGAATGAGTTTAGGGATTGTTTCTTTTATATTTTAAATTGGAACAGACAATGCTCCTTTTCATAACAATTTTGCGGCAGATCTTATAGGTTACATTTAATTATCATATTTTCCTTTAGTACTTTCAGGTTCAGGACAGAAAACGACTACTCAGACTGGAGCTGTACAGTGTAGGACCAAAAGTGTGGTGGCATTTTGCCTCTAATTAGCTGATTGTATGCAATTTTCAAAGTCTGGGCAAGCATGAGTCTCAGTTTGGAAATACTGTAGAGAAAGCCTCAGGTGGTTATATCTGAGTGGGATGGTAAGTCACTCATAAAATACTAACTCTATGCAGTGAGCTAAGTAATGCAGAGGTGACTGGGTGATATTTTAGGTTCAATGATGAGAACAGGTTTCTCTGCTGGTAATTTTCAGACTGAGCTCTGGGTGACATGTGGCCATCTTCAGAAGTTGAGGAAAGCATTCTGTACAGAAGAAAGAGCCAGTGCAAAATCGTTAAGAAAAGATGCCCCAGTATGTAAGGACAGAAAGAAGGTCAAGATGCTGGAGTTGAGTGAGTGGAGAGGTACCCAGCTGAGGGTAGAGAAGCAGACAAGTCTACTGGAGCTTTGTCCCGGCACAGGAAATGTGCAGAGTGCTGTGTGGAGGTTGTGGTGGAAGCTGATGGTGTTAGAAACTGCATTGGTGTCATCACATACCATTCTATTTGATCTGTATATAAATCTTTTGTAATAATTATCTTCATTAACCAATCAGGAAATTGACCTTAGTGGTACTGAATTTTTGTTTCCCAATTAGGATATAAATATCTCTCTGGATCATGTCTATTAAAAGCTACAGTATTAGAATGGTATGTGAATGATACTTTGCAATGTCAGTTGTATGTGTATATTGGGTAAGTAGAGCGAAAATTTTCACCCTTCAATGAGGTGAATTTCTAAAAGTGAAAAATTAAAAATTGGAAAGTAAAACCTCAATGCTTTGGTTATAGAATCTGCACAGTGTCTTTCATATAGCTTTTCTCAAAGAAACGGACAAGACTGGCATTGGCGCCAGGTTTAAGAGAACCTCCTGCTCTTGCAGTGGACCAGGGTTCAGTTCCCAGCACCAAGGAGACCTGATCTCTCTTTAGGTCTTTGTGGACACTATACCCATGTGATGCATGTACATACATTCAGGCAAGCACACTCGCACACACGAAAATAGATCTTTAAAGTCCAGTCTCTGTGCTATACGATACGTAAGTTTTACATGATATCTGTCTGTAAGATATGGTGTTGGAGGTCACCCCCAGGGCAGTTCCCTTGTTTGCAGTGTTACAGTGGCACTAAATGGTGCACTTTCCACAGAGGGGCAGTTGGAAATACTGAGTTGAGAAATGAATATTTGAAATGAATATTGAGAAGTGAATCTCTCGATAGCTTCCACAAATAAAATCCTGTTCTTTTAATAAGATGCGGGGAACTTTATGTATCTGTCTACTGATTATTAAAGGTTTTTTTCTTTTTTGGTTCACTGTGATATTTTAGCACAAGCTCTTTTAAAAGCAATTTCAGGAAGGTCTGAGTCACATAAGATGAACTCGTTCTGCTCACTTATGTGAATAGGACTTTTCCCTGCCACCTCATCTATTGAAAAGGCAATAAGAATAGAAGTGGTGCTCGCAATTAGTAATACTTACCGAAGAGCATGAAGCTATTTTGTAATACTTATAGTCAGGCATGGTTCTGTGCACCTATAATCCAGTTACTGGGGAAGGTGGGGCAGGAGTTGGGAGGCCAGCTTAGGCAATATAGCAAGAATCTGTTTCCATAGCTAGAGGAACAGAAGACCCCCACCCCTTTCTTTTGAGCTGTATTTCATATCTGAAGTTATCATTTATGTTTAGTAACCATCTGCCTCTGCCTCCTAAGTGCTGGGATTAAAGGCGTGCACCACACTGCCCAGCTATTGCCTAAGTCTTACATTACAGGCTTTTGTAGAAGGTCATTGAATGTAAAAGAAAAAAGAAATCTGCTCGCAGATTTAGTACCGCAATTGCTTCCAGATTAAAATGGGACATCTTTTTAGAATTTTAAAGTTTGTGAGCTAGACTGTTTACAATGTTGCAGTGGATTTGCTGGTTTAGTTTGTAATGTAAAGGAACTTCAGTTTTTTCTAGTTAATGTGAACAGCTGTAATCATGCTTCAAGCCAAGGCGATTGTTCTTAATGCGGAAGCTTCATGGCAGAGTGTCAGGGGTTTAGGACAGCTCAGGTAACAGGTAGCCGTGAATTAAGTGACTCTTAGGGGAGACTGGTAATGCTGTTTACTGGTTCTGTAAGCTTCTGGGAAGCTGTTCAGTCTACTTAGCAGATTGCTCAAGAGAATGTTTTAAATACAAAATTGTCAAAAATGTTAGCCAGTCAAAAGAAATGTTTAAAAATCTTTGAGAAGTCAAGGGAAGAATGATGAGGTACATTCTTAGTGTTCCTTACTCTATGCAGTTGTTTTCCTTAGGAATTAGGCTAGGGTTCTTTAATTAGGCTAGGGTTCTTTAAGATAGAACAGAGTGAACCATCTCAATTAGATAGTGGAACCTAACGATGTATCTTATATTTTTAGCAGATTCTGCAGGTTCTTCTAGGTTCTTCTAATTTTTCATTATTGGTCCAAGACCATGCGTGTGCACACACACACACACACACACGTGCACACACACTCATCAACCTTAGCATTTGTTTTGTTTGGTTGTTAGTTTTTCTTTTCTTTTTTTTTTTTTTTTTTTTGTGACGGTGTCCTGGAACTAACTCTGTAGATCAGGCTGGTCTCATACATAGAGAGATCCGTCTGCCCCTGCCTCTTGAGTGTTGGGTTTAAAGGTGTGTGCCACCACTATCCTGCCAACCTTAGCATTTTTAATACTAATAATTTCAAACGTTCCATACTTCCAGTCTTTGTGGATTTAAGATTGATAGTTTGTTATAGTGAAGAGTAGGCCCAGCTTTATCCTTTCTAGTACGAGTCTCGACTTGGATGCCCTTGTGTATACAAACAGTTGCAGTTACTTCTGTATCTGTTCATGCCTAAGGATCGGCTGTCAGACTGGGTGTGTGCTTGTCGCAGGCAGCCTGAGCTCCATAATGAGTTTCTGTTCAAGCCTGGGATATGTAGTTAGAGGCTGCTTCAATAAACTAAACAGGAATACAGGACAGTATTTGAACCCATATTGCTCTTTCAGAGGACCCGAGGTGAGTTCTCAGCACCCACACAGGGGCTCCTAACTGTTTATGACTCCAATTCCAGGGCATCCTAACATTGCTTCTGACCTTTTTGTGCTCTTGCATGCACATGGTTCACATACATACACACAGGCTCATACACATATAAGATTGTTGGTGGAGGCTGCTTGTTTGCTTCCCGGCCATCCAGACCCAAAATAACCACACAGAAACTATATTTATTAAAACGCTGCTTGGCCTATTATCTTAGGCATATTTCCGGCTAACTCTTATATCTTAAATTAGACCTTTTTTTATTAATCTCTGTATTGCCACATGGTTGTGGAAGGTAAGGTTCCATCCGGCATCTGGCATCTGTCTTCTGCAGCGGCTACATGGCATCTCTCTGTCTCCGCCTACTCGCTCCTCTATCTGGGTGGAATTCTGCTTAGCCCTATTCTGTGCTGCAATAGGCCCAAAGCAGCTTCTTTATTAACCAGTGGTATTCACAGCATACAGAGGGGAATCCCACATCATAAAATAAGTATTTTCTTTAAATGTACCTTTAAAATATTCAGAGTGCTGCCAGGCAGTGGTGGTGCATGCCTTTAATCCCAGCACTCAGGAGACAGAGGTAGGTGGATCTCTGTGAGGTCAAGGCCAGCCTGGTCTATAAGAGCTAGTTCCAGAACAGGCTCCAAAGCTATAGAGAAACTCTGTCTCGAAAATCAGTCAAACAAACAAACAAAAAAGTACTGACACAGACCAAGAGTTGGAATAATTGTTACAATTTTTTTTTAAAGTTATGAATTTTGAGTTAAAAAAGGTATTGATCCAATTTTTTTTTACATATTGTACTAATGAAAACATTTCTATTTCCAGGGTAAACCAGACTTGAACACAACATTGCCAATTAGGCAAACTGCATCAATTTTCAAGCAACCAGTCACCAAAGTCACAAACCACCCCAACAATAAAGTGAAGTCAGACCCACAGCGGATGAACGAACAACCACGTCAGGTAAGGGGCTAATTTGTCCTCTAATCATATTTTCCAGAAAATTCTGGTATTTTTATCAAGCATAATTCAAATAAATTCTGATTATATTAGAGTACATTTGAAAAAGCTTTATTTCTAGTTATAGAGAATAACCATAATAATATAAGATATAATAAAATACTCTAGACGTTAATTAAAGTGAATCTAATATTATTGGCAACAGTTTTAATGCTATCTGTGTTATAATATTCCTGAGACTTGGTTGTACTAATCTTAGCTTTTTAAAGATGATTTTTCTAGGAATAGCGTTTCCTAGAAAGATGAATCATGCAGCTCGTGTTGTGTTTGGCTTGAAAACATTTCTATTATTTGGAAATTGCTTCTTCTCCCCTTTGTTTCTGATTTCTAATTTCAAGGAATCTGTCCCAAACCTTTTGAAAAACAGAATCAGATATAATTTGCCAGTATGGTTATATCACCGTGAGTTTCGTTTTTATATAAGTTCAGTGCATTTTTCTCTTTCATTATTTCTTCAACTTATATCCACCAGAAACTTTTCTTAGACAAGGGTATTATCTGAAAGGCCTCCCTGCTGATTAACAAGGTTGCACAGCCAGGGATGGAGACTGGACAAAGTGCTCAGCCTCCCGGTTGTTCTACTGACTCCTCCCTCATGTGGTCAGAAGTTAGGTGCTCCATGAATTTCAGTCACAACTGGGGGAGGAGGTGGAGGAGAAACACTGCATTTTCTCTTTTTTCTATTTCCTCCCACGTAGTGGGTTAGAAACACTGATTGGCCTGCACTGAGTAGCTTTTGCTCAAATATTCTCCACTCCATCTTTTCATTTGAAATTATTTTTCACTAGTCCTTCAAGTGTTTCATCTCCAGACTTCACAAAGGACAGGGCCAAATCTCTCAGACAGTTGCTCTAGAAGAAACTACAGAAAGAAATCCAGTTCCCACATCCTCTGTAGTGTTTTTTCCTCTTCAGGTGAGCCAGGAAAACAGAAGATGTTTGGAGCCACATTGGATCAGCATCTTGCTATAGATGTCTCAAGATTTGAAGTTCTAAACTTGCTTTACTGTTGGTCCCCAAGAGATTCAACAGGGGCCATGTAAGTGTATCACATCAAGTATAAAGGATGCGTACCTGCATGTGCCATTAGGTTCTTGTCAGCACGTAGCTTTTCTTTGGGCCATTCAGCTTTCTGTGTGAGGCTTTCCCCTCTGTTTTACTACCATGTGCAGGATAAAAACAAAATGGATGGTGGTTTTAGTGTTTTCAGTTCAGTTCAACAAGAAAGGGATTCTGCTATCTTGAACTCTGCCTGTCTTATCAAGCTGTTCTCTGGTTGTATTCTTTTGTAGGTAAGGTATGCAGTTTGAATATCGGTCCTTTGACTTTTTGTTGACTTAAAATTGTTTCCTTACTAAATTTTTATTACTTGAAAGTTTTGATGTTCATAACTGATTAAAATGCTTCCCAAATCCCAAAAGACAGAGGTAGGATGTAACCTTTAATGATATAGTGGAAATTTGAGTTGTCCTATGAGAACAGGTATTATTTAATAGATTTTTATCCTTTTATTTCTTTTTCTCTCTCTTTTTTTTCCTCTTTTTGGTTTTTCAAGACGGAGTTTCTCTGTAGCTTTGGAGCCGGTCCTGGCACTAGCTCCTGTAGACCAGGCTGGCCTTGAACTCACAGAGATCCACCTGCCTCTGTCTCCCAAGTGCTGGGATTAAAGGTGTGTGCCACCACTGCCTGGTTTATCCTTATTTTTTCTTTGCCAGACCACACACTATAAACCTGTATGCTTTATTTAAAGATCAGTTTATTGACAAATTCTGGTCATTTTAGCAGTGATTTGACTGGACCTGAGCCCAGCTTTACACTGTAAAAGTTGCGGTGCCTGTGTTGTGCAGGGTGCTTAGCTGTCTATGGAGATCAGTAATCGAGAAACTTAAAGCTGAAGTGAACAGAATGGTTCCTCTCCTTCTTTGCTTTGTTGAATAGCTTTGAGTTTTCTCTCTTTTATTATGGTTTATGGAATTACTCTCATGAAGTTGTGTTTGTTCCTTTCCCTCTTGTCAGAGAATTTTAGCATCGTTCTAACAGAGATCTTTGAAGGTTCTTTCTTTGAGCTAGTGTAGACAGGTGGTATTGTATAAGTTAGCAGGTTACTTCTGCATACCTGGCTGTTTTTCTTGGTATTCTCATGTTACTTGAGAATAACCTAATCTTTAGGATTTTTTGGTTACACCACGACAGTTATCTTTTCTTCTTCATTTCTTCAACATAGCAGTTGAAGTGACGTTTGAGTGTCGTGTCGCCAATGTGAAGATAGTAAAGAGGGAACTTTAAAGTTATGTCATCTTAAAAGTCTAGGTTAGAAACAGGCTTGTTAATAAAATGATGCTGATTTTAATTATATTTTGGTATCTGTATGATTACTTCACCATTGTTGGGTAGATAGTTGACAAAAATATATGAAGACAAAAATAATTCTAATTTTGCTACTCATTATTTGGATCCAGTAAAATAGGTCAGCAGTATAAATCACCCATTGCTCAACTTGGCAAAGTTATTTTTATTAGACAGTGAATGAATGAGATTTGTATTTCTTAAGTTCCCATAGGGAACATATATTTTTTTTTCTTTAAATATATCATTCTCTTTTAAGGTATTTAAGTTAGAGGTATGAGCACTGAATTTTAGGCCTAGAGTAATAAGGTGTGTGTATGTTAATTTAGGCTTTACTTTCAGTATATGTGAAGTAATAGGTGAGAAGAAGAAAAATCAGCAGTCCTGTCTTTACAGAAGTATTTTATGCTGAGGTCATTATATGATTGTCCATATAAACTATGAATTTATATTCATTGACTTTTTAAATGCCTTGTCTTTAAATATGCAAATTAGTGTATTTAAAGAATTCGTTAAAACAGAATTTAATACAAAACAAAGTAGTTATTTGTGCATAAATTAAGATCATAAAGTAGAAATGGGAAGGATTGGCCCTGGTTATAATGGGGTAAGTGGCGGTCATTTTTGTATGCAGTAGCTGCACGTTTATCATTTCATAGGTGGAGAAGATGGACGGAAGGCTTCTCTCAGACATCTAGATATATAAGACACATGTTTTTTAAAAAAATTAATTGAATTGCAATTTTATTAAAGTTGTCTTTTCTGTTTACTTCTTTGTGGGTTACTCACTGTTTTGAGTTTCTTTCTTTAATACTGTTACCTTTGATGCTTTCTGGTCTCGTGTTTCTTTTATCTTTAAATTGAAGTTTCATTTTTGAGTTTTCATTTTCTTTTGAAATAATTGTGAAATTATCAGGGTTGACACACCTTCAGTATTATGGACTGTCTTTGAACATTGTTTTTCTTAAAGAGTAATCATGGTTTTCTTTAGGAGTTAATATTTGAAGCAAGTGAAGATGTACACTTGAGTATCCTGCTCAGTCTATTTCGTCTTTTGTTTTTCTAGTCCTTCTTTGAAAGGATATATAGCTTTCCCTTCCTCCCTCCTGGGAGTCGGCCTGCCTCTTCTGTTAGAATGAGGGGTTAAATTATATTAGACGAAACTCCCAAATGAAAGAAATTTAAAACCAAGTACATGTACAGTTGTATGTGAAAGGTTTATGAGGTGATCCAGTGTGTGTTGAGTTGTTATAATCCAGAAATGACCCTTCATTGCAGGCATTCTAGCCGTCTTCTCCTCTGTAGCTTCAACAGTTCCTTCTAGAATGGCTTTATGACTGAACCCCTGAAGTATATTATATTCCTTTTGTCTCCTCCAGATAGAAAAATTGGCTGCTTGGGCAGAGACTGTGAGCTTCAAGTGTTCCTCTAAGGAGTTCTGGGAAGATGTCTTGTACAGAGTGCTAGATAAATAAGTAGACTGGTGCTGGGGGTGTCAGGAAGAGCAGGGCTACTGTGGCTGGGAAATTTGGGGCGAACTTTGGAAATGCTAGAGGGCTGAAGATTTAGAAGGACAGCCAGCAGAGCACGGGGATGCTGCACTGGAGAGAGCAGCTTTTGTAAAACTACTCTGGGCAATAGGCAAAGAGAAAGTTGAAAAGTTAGAAATGAGGGTTTTAATTAGAAATAATAGAAACTGAAAGTAGTTCATGTTGCTGAGGATCCTTAAATGCTGACCTTTAGAAGTTTAAACTACATTGTTGCTTGTTTTCTATAAGAGAAAGAAATTTGGAGTAGACAAAGAAAAAATTACTCATAATTTCTTTTTGCTAATCAAAACATTTTTAAGCATTTAAAATACTTTCTTTTAGTATTTTAGTGCATTTTGAAAAGCATAATGGTGATTAGATGTCTTTGCGCTTTAAAGAGTTCCATGTAACCCTACACTCATAATTGTTTCATTTGATATGTTCCTGTTATTTGTTAACTAGACTGTACGTTGTGCTAACAATTGTAAGTCACACTTGCCTGTGGCTTCCCTAGCTACTCATTAGTGTAAGATAGTGTCTGGAGAATTTTTGGTTACATATTAAGTCTCTTCTATATGTTACAGTGATTTCCTTGGCTAAGTTCTCAGAAATGTAATTAGCATGAGTTTATGATTTTGATACCTGCCATCAAATCGATCTTCACTCAGTTGTAACAAGTTAAAAGACTATCCATTAGTAAGTTAAGGAGCTCAGTTTCATTTTGTCTTCTGTGACATGCTACTTACAAATGTGTTCCGTTTCAGACTCCTATCTTTTCTACTATATAAATTGACTTCTACCCCAAAGCATTTAAATGTACTCAAGTTGTTCAGGAAAAACGTTCACTTTACTGCATATGCACTTTTGTTATTTATTCTCCTTCTTCTCTTTGGCCAAATTTCTGTGTGGTGTCTGTATATTTGCATTATACCTATTTATTTTTTGCAACTCTAAAACAAAGCTTTTATTCTTGCTCTACCACTAAAACTGCTCTTACTATGCTTACTGAAGTTGTTTGTTAAAAGGATAGAATAGTCTCCTTAAATTGCCTCCTGTTGTGCTCTAGTAT